CCAAGTACGGGCCCGTGAAAATTTTTGGCAAGCAAGTTGCTAACTCGGGGACTAGAAAAGCTAGAAAGCTGGAATTTTAAACGGATTTTTTCTGACAGTCATGGTGGGCAGTCTTAATTCTTCTAGCTTGAAGGATCTGCCGGAAAAACCGGTGCTATTAGCGGCAAAGTCCTGCGGGGAACTGTGCAAAAAACGCATCTTCGCGCCGGCAGTCAAGCTCAATGGCCAATTATTTGAGTTTATTTTGGCTGCTTTAACACATTAATGCTGTTTTTTTCAGTCGTTATGGCATAGTATTGAAGCATATAAAGGAATTGTTGGCAATGCCGGAAACGTGCAGTGACAGACAACAGTTGCATGAGGAACGACGACCTTTAAGGGATGATGAATTAGAGCTGCAATATCGCATTGGTAAGTCCAAAATTCGGGATTTTAGGCCCTTTGGTTTCTTTTTTTTTTTGTTAATTTTACAAAGCAGTTTTTTTCCTTTCATTTTTATCTTGTGGCAACTGTTGATCTTTTGATTTACGCTTCTGATCAAATTAACTGCGCTCTAAGCAAAGAGATAAATTTCTTATTTTAAAACAGCAAACTCAAAAATACAACGTTCACGTAGCTTAATACACGTTTCGATTCCAAAGCACAACCACTGCACAGAATATTCCCTTCTTCGACCCCTGACGGTCGCCAGCAGTCTTCTTTTCCCCGCTCAATCCACCCTTCGAAGCCGCAATTTTCTTCCAGTCCGCCGTATCCAGAAGCCCGTTCCTTTAGGAATGACCACTTTTCCTACCTCAGCAGTTCAAAATCCTTCTCCCTCCTTGTGATCCCCTTTTACATATTTTTTTTAAATATACACACAAAAAAACAAAATACAACATTCGAGAACAAGTTTTATCTATCACTTTTCGTGTTTTGACACGACAGCAACCGCATTTTCTGGACCCAACGGAAAGCTGCTTGGAACAGACTGCAGCATCCAAGTTGACCCAGGAAGTGCAGATGGCAAGGTGTGAAAGAGCTCAGGAGAAAGTAGATTAGAGTGTAAGAGCGAGATAAGACGTTTCGGTCCATTAAGCAATATACCTGTATTAACAGAATAGAAGAAATGAATGGGATAAGGAAGAAAAACCGTGGAAACCAATAAATATGGAGAAAAGCAAGTAATTGCTAGGTAGCATAGGTATGAATACATAAAGACTTGTACGATCCGGGATAGCTTTGGCTTGCGCTTGAGGACGACACGGCAGAAAAATAAGGTTTATATCTTTACGAATGCCAACACAGGGGGATTGCGCCAAGGGTGATACGCGTAATTCCAGAAAATTTGCAAAGCGAAAGGGTTTAGCCGGCAACTTCGTTTCCTTGCTGCTAGCAATTACCACCGTGAAGAAGATCGTCCGAGATTTCGTTGGTCGGGACCCCGTTAGTAGGGTAAACGCTAATATAGAAAGGCCGGGACTAGCGCTTGACTGGCGTGAAGACGGTTAGTATGTGTATAACGAGGAGGGTGTGTGCGGGGTGCAACTATGGGGGCATGCACACCAAATGCTTTATTTAAAACAACAAAAAAAAAGAATTCACAAAGCTAGAAATACCCGACAACAGCTCCACGCTACCGCCGCACAATTTTTTGATTCAACAAAACAATCCACAATTCATTTCTAATCACCATTAAATATCATGGAGGGAGAACTCGAGTCAGGAGACAGGACATTTGCATATCACAGTGAACCGAAGGGCAACTGGGCAAGGCGAAGGGGTTTAGCCGGCAACTTTGTTTCCTTGCTGCTAGCAATTACCACCGTGAAGAAGATCGTCCGAGAATTCGTTGGTCGGGACCCCGTTAGTAGGGTCAACGCGAATATAGAAAGGCCGGGACCAGCACTTGATTGGCGTGAAGATGGTTAGTATGTGTGTGGTGAGGAGGGTCTGTGCGGGTGCAGCTATGGGGGCACGCACACCAAACTAGTAAATGATGCTTTATTTAAAACAAAAAAAAAAAGAACTCACAAAGCAAGAACCAACCCGACAGCAGCTTCACGCTACCGGCGCAGAATTTTTAGATCCAACAAAACAATCCACAGTTCATTTCTAACCACCACATTAAATATCACGGTTGGAGAACTCGAGTCAAGAGACAGGACATTTGCATATCACAGTGAACCGAAGAGCAACTGGGCAAGGCGAAGGGGTTTAGCCGGCAACTTCCATTTCCTTGCTACTAGCACCTTCTTCCTTTTGCAACATGTGTAACTGTCATTCGATTCCAGCAACAGCTGGAGTGAACCCTTTATTGCACAGATTGTCTAAATTGATACGTATGAAGAGATCGACGCTTGCGATGTGGCTGTCGTCCTGTAGAAATTGTGTGTGTGTATGTGTGTTTGTGTGTGTGCGTATATGTGTGTGTGTTTGTATGTGCATCTGTATGTGTGTTTGTGTGTTGTGTGTGTATGTATGTGTGTATGTGCGTGTGTTTGTGTATGTTTGTATGTGTGTGTGTATGTGTCATCTCGTAATTATTACAAGGAAATAATTATTGCATAGCATAAAATTATAATTTTTTTGGACCAATGCATTGAAATCCCGTAATGCGTAGGATTTTTTCAGATTATGCAACTTCTCGAAAGCTTGGTCCGAGCTATCGTGCACTTCCTGATTCATACGAGAAGCCACTTTGCTCCGGACGTACACCACTGTGTGATTCTGTTCTCAACGATAGATGGGTTTCGTTCCCATCCTGGTCATCCGAGGAGAGCTCCTGTGTACTTCCCAAGAAAACAGAATTCGAAGAATTCATGTTCCGCACCGATGATGAGCGCTATGAGGTAGGTTTTTTTTCAATTTTTTTTTGTAGAAAATTCGTTATTTTCCCAAGAAGTTGCGATCAGAACTACGATAAAACGTTTTTTCATGATTTCGGTCTACGCAGTGTAACATAATTTTGCGTGATGTTTAACTTCAATTCAGTTAATAATAGAAAAAATTTATTTGCTTAAATTTATTCAGTTAAAAATGAAAATTTTTAGTTTCCTGAGGATTTTTGGTTCAAAGAGGTTCAAAAAGAGTAAAAAGTACCGGAAAATTTTCGCTTCAAAAAGCGAAAACGAATTTTGATCTTTGGAAATATGGTGTAATTTTTAAAAAAAAAACTTCTAAAGACCATCCTGACTAACTTTGAGGCGTCGAATTTAGACGGAAATTTATTTTTTATATGTTTAAATATCGAATTTTTTTTTAAGCTGGACATTATCATTGAAATAAACAAGACAGTACTGGATCTTCTACTAGCGGCAGAGGCCCGGATGTCAAATATGACCAAAGAACAGTTAAGCAAGTTCCAGTTGAATGAAGCTTTGAACGGTGATTCACCAGCAACAGTGCGAATGGCCTTAAAAAGAATTTATGGGTTTGTTTTGCGAAAATAATTTTTGAGACAAAGGTACTGAATTAAAGGATTTATCATCTAAGTAAAGAGAGGGGAGTGTTAAAACTTTACTTTTTTTACGTTTTTTGCATCTATGCAATGCAGAAACGCATATTGTCACGGGATTGTTTGCATGTGTGTGTGTACGTGTGTGTGTGTGTGAGTGTGTGTGTGTGTCTGTATGTGCGTCTGTACCGATTTTTCATCTCGAGATCCAGAAAAACTACAAGGCTGAAACTTCGGGAACTTCGATTTACATGCATGTACGGGCCCCCGTTTCCAAATGGACCCTCTTGTCCACATGTTTCTCAAGTGCAGGCCCGCGAAAATTTTTTGGGGGTAAGTTGCGAACTCGGGAACCAGAAAAGCTAGAAAACTGGAATCTTAAGGGAATGTTCTCCGTTGCGTAGGGCTTAATGATTTTTCAAACCCAGCTCCCAGGTATGTGTGGTCCCTCACGTACAGGACCTTGAAAATTTTTTGGAGGCAAGTTGCGAAATTGGGAACCAGAAAAGCTAGAAAGCTGAAATTTTAAGTGAATGTTTTCTCACAGTCGTGATGGCCAGTCTGCGGCTTGGAGCATCTGCCGGAAAAAAACAGTGCCGTTAGCGACAAAAACCTGTGGGGAACTGTGCAAAAAATGCATCTTCGTACCAGTATTCAGTACGCTGGCCAATTATGTTTCTTGCCTGGTACCATCAGGTAACTGAATTATATATACACAATAATAACAAATAGTATTCTGTTAGCATTGACATATGGGTACATCTCAGTAACATTGGTTTAAGCAATCTTGCTGATAACCATTGTAAGCTAAGTTTTATTTTTCAAAAAAGAAATATTTTCTGAGAATTTTCTAAGAATACTAAGAAAATTTCTAAGAAGAAATTTTCTAAGAATTTTTAAGAATTTTCAGTGAACATGCGCATAAAATGCTGGAAAGCCTTATGCAAAATCCACAAATTTTGGTACCAAAATTGATCGATCGAATGCAAAAAAAGGACGAGGAATGGCGTACGTTACGGGGAAAGTGTAACAAAGTTTGGCGTTGTGAAACTGAAAAATATTATGCAAAAAGCCTCAGCCAACAGTCATTCACATTCAAACAGCGTGATTACAAGAGGCTTCGACCCAGAAATATCATCAGCCAATACGAGAACTGGTACGAAGAAGTAAGTTTTTTTGATGCATCATGAGCTGAATATTTTTTTTGCAAAAATTGCCGAGCTCGGCATAATTCCAATTAGCATTTTTGTTATTTCTTACTTTTTTTGTGTTTTTTTGTTTCTGTTGTTTTGTAAAGTGAAATAATTTTTGGGGGGATTTTTTTGAATTTTTTTTTTTTCAGTATTTACTCGTATTTTCATCATATTCGAAGTATTTAATCAGCAGGGATGGAGTTTACGGCGTGTTGTAGGACAGGCAGTCTGTGTTTCATTTCTTAGCTGTAAACACTCTGTTTCATCCCTTAGCTGTATACACAGATAGAATAATGGTGCGGATAGGAGTGGGAATCATTCGCGCAGCCTCTTAATTATTAAATAAAAAAAATGTTTTTTTTATATGGAAAATATAAGTTTATTTGGTGCGAGAGAGTGAGAGAGATGAATAACGATTTATAGGAAGGAAGAAGCATTATACTTAACCGAAAAGGAAAAATACAGGAAGTTGTAATAGAGCATGCAAAAAATAATACGGAAAAGTGGAAGATTCTTTTTTTGTAATACGGAAAAGTAAAAAATTCTTGTTTTTTAATACGGAAAAGTGAAAAAATTTTTGTTTTGTAGTACGGAAAAGTGAAAAATTCTTGTTTTGTAATAAGAAAAAGTGAAAAATTCTTATTTTCGCAATCTATGAGAGATCGGTGCACTAGGAAGTATTTCGAGGAGAAAAAACCATATTTTTGCGAATATTTTTATTTAGAATATGCAGTGTGTTACTGAATCGAATTGTGCATAGCTGAATGAGCCAGTACCTTTTTTTTATTATTTTTTTAGGCTCAGTCTTTTTTGCCATAGATAGTGCGTGGTTCTCAAGTACGAGCCCATGGAAATTTTTGGCGGGAAAATTGCTAACTTGGGAATCAAAAAAGCTGTATTTTAAAATATGCAGTGTGGTACTGAAGAGAATTTTGCACAGCGTAATGGGGCAGTACAGTGTTTTTATTGGTTTTCTAGATTCTGCCTCTTTACCACAGGTAGTACATGGTTCTCACGTACGATCCCATGAAAATTTTTGGCAGGAAAATTGCTAACTTGGGATCCAGAAAAGCTAGAATATTCAGTGTAATGCTGAAGAGAATTTTGCATAGCTTAATGAGCCCCAGTACAGTGTTTTTATAGTTTCTTTTTTTTGGATTCAATGTCTTTGTCACAGGTAATACGTTGCTCTCACGTACGATCCCATGAAAATTTTTGGCGGGAAAATTGCTAACTCGGGAACCAGAAAAGCTGTATGTGAGAATATGCAGTGTGATACTGAAGAGAATTGTGTACAGCTTAATGAGGCAGTACAGTGTTTTTGTTGGTTTTCTAGGTTCCACTTCTTTGCCACAGGTAGTACATGGTTCTCACGTACAATCCCATGAAAATTTTTGGCAGGAAAATTGCTTACTCAGGGCCCAAAAAAACTGTATTTTAAAATATGCAGTGAGGTACTGAAGCGAACTGTGCACAGCTTGATGAGCTCCAGTACAGTGTTTTTAGAGTTTTTTTTTTTGGACTCAATGTCATTGTCACAGGTAATACGTTGCTCTCACATACGAGCCCATGAAAATTTTTGACAGGGAAATTGCTAACTCGGGAACCAGAAATGTTATATGTTAGAATATCCAGTGTAATATGGAAAATAATTTCGCACAGCTAGATGAGCTCCATTACAGCGTTTTTATAGTTTCTTTTTTGGACTCAGTGTCTTCTTTGTCACAGATATCATACTGGTTCTTTTGTTGATTTTAACAGCAAGGCATTACCCTTTTCCGGCCATCTCGATCAACATTTCCCAGTGCAGTTGGATTAGGAATAATGGGTCATGCGCTCATTTTTATAATTATTTGCACTTTTATTTTGCAGCGTGCTGATTCACTGGAAGAGGGTATTGTGGAAATTGGCCCGCACTGTATTTTTACATACCCAGAGGATATGAATCTACTCTATGATGCCAGTGATTTGATGATATACTATTTGAAACGACGGCCAAATATTCCGAGGGATGAGAAGCGGGGCATGGAGCATTTTCTGAAGCATTTCATCCCAGAAATGTTTAATATTCCGGAACAAAAATTGATCGACGAAGTAGTTATTTCCGAAGACTACCCTTCTACTGGTAAGCTTCGCATTTTCAAAATAGTAAGGAATTTCCAGGGAGCTTTCTTCGCTAAGCATCATTTTTAAACGATAATCGGAATTTTGTTGCAGTGATAGCTATTAAGAGTACAATGATGAAGCAGGAATGTATAGTAGGTGATGATAATAATATTAATAATAATATTAATAGTAATAGAAGTAATAATAGTAATATTAGTAGTGACAGTAATAATAATTATAATAGCAATAATAATAGTAACAACAATAATGGTAATGATAATAATAGTAATAATAATACTAATAATGGTAGCAATAATAATGGTGATAATAATAGTAATAATGAAGTAATAATAATGGTTGTAATGATAATAATTGTAGTAATAACAGTAATAATAGTAGTAATGGTAACAGGAATAAATAATCATAGTAGTAATAACAGTAATAATAATAGTAATAGTAATGGTATTGATAGTAATAATAGTAATGATAATTATAGTAGTAACAGCAATAATAATAATAATAATGTCTCGATTTGTTTGCAGAAAGTACTGAAGCACCTGAAGCAGTCGTTGAGGGTCGACGATCGAAGAGGATTGCCAAAAGTGTGCCGTCAGACGGGAGCGCCGCAGAGCAAAGTGTTAGTTATCGTTGTTTTCAATCGTAATTGTTGAAATTCGTGGGAAATTAATGAGGAATCATCATTCTGCACCATTTTTTTCAAAGGTTTCATGGCAGGCATTTTTTTATCTCTCATTTCTATCGTTGCAAGTGCCCCTTCTCGCACGTAACAAACAGCGTATTTTAGCTTCGCAGTACCGTGTTACCATGCGAAACACCCAAAATGAGCATTTATCTCTATGTCCAGGTACGGGGATATTAGCCCATTTCTCTCTCGATTGCCAAGAGATGGATTTGAACTCCTGTTCTCAGTAATCCGCAGCGGATATCTTAGGATCAACTGACCCATATTTAAATGCTCTCTCGCATGGAACCTTCTCCACCCACTTCAGTCTTCAAGGATTTCACTTGAATATTTGCTACTAGCACCAAGTTGCGCACCAGTGGACGCCAATGACTGGTCCATATTTTAATTGATTATTTATTCCTAACTGTAGAACACCTAACCATGAACCAAACGCCAAGTTTGTACCGATTTTTCATCTCGACACATACAAAAGCTACAGGGCTGAAATTTTGAGAACTTAATCTACATGCATGTATGGACCACCATCCCTAAAACGGGCGCTTTTGCCCGCATGGTTCCCACGTACGAGCCCGCCAAAGTTTTTTACGAAGTTATCGCGTTTTTTGGGGGATTTTTTCAGGCTATTTTTAGTTTTTCGTTGTTTTTTTTTTAGGATGAGCCACCGGAAAAAGACTTGAGCAGGTCATGCTCATATCGTCTTTTTTACGGCACCAATGCCTGGTGTGTCTTTATCGAGCTTCATCATTTGTTATGCTCACGTCTGGCAACACTGAAGAAGAAACATCAGGAACTCATTGCAAATCATGAGGTAAACGGGTTTTTCTCACTGGCGTTTTTTTTTTTTTTTATAAATTTCACTATATGACTTATCGTTTTATTATTGCGCTACATTAATCTAATCGATGGCCTCTTCATTGTTGCTGTAATCGAAGTTTTAGCAACTCGTGGGCAGAACTTTTTTTGCCGACAAATGTGAACTAGGAAGGGATCGAACCACTCGTCTTCACAGCCGGATGCCATGTACTAAACCATTGCACTAGGGGCCTTTTTTGCTCCCAACTAAACAGCTAAGGGATTTTTGCAAGGCGCCCATACACATTATATCTGCACATAGGCGGATCCAGGAC